TTGGGGGGGGGGGGGATTGAAATTTACCAGAACATACTAGCACTTGGTGTTTGGAAAAACTTGATATCAACATGTCGCTAATCATTAAGAAATGTTCTGTATTGATGCACTGATAATAAACATGAAATGAAAGGCCTATTTAATTCTACTAGCAAGACCCATTCATTCATTCATTCATTCACTCAACAAGCCAGGTTTCTCTTGTAAGCACTTGCCAGGTTTCTCTTGTATGTGTGTGATAACCTTGCAGTCAGGCCAACTTCCCTGCCAAAATGAAAAATTTTTTTTCTGTCTTAATAATTTTGAAAAGCTGTATAGCCCTGGCCGGGGTGGCTCAGTTGGTTGACTGTTGTCCCATGCACTGAGAGGTTGTCAGCTGATTCATAGTCAGGGCACATGCTCAGGTTGTGGGATCCATCCCCACTGGGGGGCGTGCAGGAGGCAGCCAGTGGATGGTTCTCTCTCATCAATGTTTCTCCCTTTCCCTTCCTCTCTCTCTCTCAAATCAGTAAAAACATATTTTTTAAAAAAAAGAAAGAAAAGCTGTATAAATTGCTAAGTAATCAGAGATCAAACTAACTAGGTTTTAACAAAACAGTGCAAACCTCTTATACTTGCGAAGTAGCCTCGTGGTTGGTTTAGAGAAAGAAGGGGGAGAGAGAAACATCAACTTGTTGTTCCACTTACTTCTGCATTCATTGGTTGATTCTTGTATGTGCCCGGACCAGGGCTCGAACCCACAACCTTGGTGCATTGGGACGACACTCCAACCAACTGAGCTACCTGGCCAGGGTACCTCGTGGTGTTTCAAACACACGGGTCCCATGCATATTCAGATGTCATGTTCTCTAAGATACTCTCACCCCTACTAGGCATCAATGACTTAGTTCATCTTTCAGACCCAAAGTTCAAAACCTGTATGTCACAAGTCAGGTGGCCCTAACACAGAGACTGGACCTGTTCCGTCAGGAGGTCCACACTGCTTCAAGTGGCAACACAGAAACGAAGTGTGAAATGTGACGAAGAAAAATGCTGTGTGGCACCTCCACCCGCTGCTTGGCCCCTACTTCGTACTCACGGCCTTGCTGGCAGAGCTGTAACCCATGATCGTGAGGCAGTGTTAGCAAGTGTTGCAGCAGCATCACAAAGTGAGCCAGCCACGCACAGAGTCCCTGAGGTTGCTTCTGCAAAAAGGAAGCAATAACATTCGATTTTTAAAACCACGCACACATTTTCCCCCCATACATGTGCCAGTTCTCCATCTGCTCCTACCCAATCCCTATTCATTCTCCACCTTTCTCTGCACCCCAAGAGGCTGACCTCTAACACCTGCTCCCGAGCTCCTTTTCCTCTCGTTTGGACTGGGTCCAGCTACTGGGAGCCAGTGGCAGGTCAGACACTCGTCTGCCGCAGCACCAGCCACGACTCCTGGAGTGGCTCTGCTCAGGCACCTCCACGACTCCTGCGGGACGGCCCTGCCTGGGGTCCCCTCCACCCTTCCCGCCCAGGGAGGAGCAGCCTCCTGCTGCTGCTGGCCACCAGCCGTCCCGGGTCCCTTGGCCTCTTTACTGGGTCCCCGAGTCCTGTCCAGGCCTCTGCAAACAGTCCTTTCATTACCTCCCCTGCAGAAGTCCCCGGGAGGGAGTTTCCTGCCAGGACGCTGACCCTACACCCCCCTATACTCTACTGTTCAACACACTGGTCCTGTTTTTCTCAAGGGGATTCTGACTGCGCAGAACATTCCCATGGCTCCTCTCCGCCTTCCAATAAAACACCACAAAGCCTGGTGAGAGGATTCAACATTTTATACACAAAAAGATCAGTTTTCCAACATTCAATTGGATGAGTGCATGGCGTCTTCATGGACTCCCTCGGAGCTACATCAGTACAAAACAGTTTAAATTAGTAACATAAAGCCGTTTCAGAAGGAAGATCATGGGTTACCACTGGTTGGGAACAGAGGACACAGGCAGCAAAGTGGTCACTGCATGACACGGGGACAGGCCGGCAGGTGTAGTGCCCTTGTTCCCCTACGCAGAGTGAGGCCCTGAGCTTCAGGGCCCCCCCTCCAGGACAGATGAGCGGCAGAAATCTGTCACCTTGTTTACGCTCGTCTGCTGGGAATGACATGTCCACCTGGGCCACAGGGAGATGCCCTGGAGCTCGGCGTGGCCGCCAGCCCTGCACGTATCTATCTGATCAAAGCAGTCAGTGCACTGCGGGGTAGTGACCGGAGCAAGACAGAGAAGCAGGCGGTCTCACGCGGCAGGCGCAGAATCGAGCCGTCTGCCCGTGGCCCCGATGCCTCTCGTCGGGTCCACTGATTCTGTTTAACTGAAGCTGCCCAGCCAATCGGAGGCCACAGTGGCGTGGGGTGTGATTGAACCAGAAAAGCGTGTGTGCGTGTGTCTGTGTGTGTCTGTGTGTGTGCAGGGGAGGCGGAGGCTGGGCCTCACCTGAAGGGACTGTACAGCCGCTGAGTTTTCTGGGGCTTTCTGGGAATCCCATCGGGTTCACCCTTTGTTTTTTCTGCCCATCTGAACAACGCTTACAAAACACCCGTGAGTTAAAAAAAAATTTTTCTTAATCTTCTCTATGTAGAAAGCCTGGCCACTTGATGTCTTCTGTTCCCTCCGGGATGGTTGTGACTTCTGCATGACACTATTTCCCTTCAATGACAAAACTACCCAGAAGGCCCACAGGACAGCGGTGGGCAGGGCCTTTCCAATATGCTACGTGACCCAGGCAGAGGCACCTCGCACCGAGTTAGTCTAATGTCACGGGCATTCGGCCTGAAATCCTCACGTGTATCCCCCCAGCCTTGATGTGTGACCCCTCTGCCTGCAGACAATTCACCTTCAGAGAGACCCTCGCGCCCTCACGGCCCGCTCCACCGCGACAGGGGCTTGGCGTCACACACGTGGCTCGCGTCAGGCTCAGAGTTCGTCGTGTTTGGCCTCCTGGTCTTTGAGTTTAAACTCCTCGGCCGTGACCTTGCCGTCTCCATTGCGGTCCTGGTTGGTGAACATATTCTTCACGATCATCTCAGCGTCAAACCCGGGAGCGAGCTTCCCCTTGCCCGATGCCACCTGGGCGTGAATGTACTCTGAGAACTGGAGAGGGGACAGGACAGACCCTGAGACACAGCAGCCGACAGTGCCGAGCCCAGGCCCGAACAGAATGGGATTTGCGCCTGAGCTACCAGAACAGACAAAATCCTATGATCTACACAACCTGGGCTTTTCTCCAGATGCAGGTTACAAAGCCCTGACTAAACGGTTCCCGAAGCCCTGAGGTCCCAGGCAGGCGAGGCAGTGGCCACTGGCCTTCCCCGTATCCCTAAGTCAGAACAGTTCCTCACCAAAGCCTGCCCCCTGACCACCAGCCTCTGCCAACACTATTGCCCACACTCATTCATTCGCACAAGAAAACTGGACCACCTACTGTGCGCTGAGCACCATCCTGTCGTGAGGGCCACGCAAGGTAACAGCTGTGGGAACACTTAACACTGGGCAGGTGCACAGTGAGCACCAGGACCTGGAACTGACCCAGGTCTGCGAGCCCTGGAGTCAGTCCCTGTACCTGTCAGGCCTCAGTGTCTTCAAAGAGCTCCATCTTGGAGGGCGTGCGTGAAAGCGCTTGGTGCGTGAGTGTGTAGCTTCTCATTAGCACAGAAATCAACGCAGGAGGCCTCCCCACTCTGAGAAGGCTCCACCACAGAATGGAGGCTCCCTGCGCTCCTCTGGTCCCAGCTGCCTCCCAAGGTCAGTTACCTCTTCCAGAAGGACTTCTCCGTTGCCATCCTTGTCGATTTCTTCAAAGAGGTTGGGGGACACCTCGTCATTCCATATGAACATGTACCCCTCAGGCAGGCCAGCCACCAGCTCCAGCAGCTCGATGTCAAACACCAACACGGCACTGCCGGGCACCTCTCCATCTGCCCCGATGACAGGGAGGGGCAGGGTTAGGGCCAAGGGGCTGCAGACACGCCCCCTCCGCCGCCCACCCCACCCTGGGCCCCAAAAAAGCTCAGCATCAGCACATGGTTTTCCAAACTGTAGGTAGTGACTCTCAGTGAGTCATCACGGCAGTTTAGAGGATGGTGACCAGCATTTATTATGTTTTTATCCATTTTAGAGAGAGGGGAAGGGAGAGGGAGAGAAATATTGATGGGAGAGAAACATCAATTAACTGACCCCTGTAGGCCCCCGTCTTGGTTCATGGGTGGACACTCAAACCACTGGGCCACACTGCCCGGGCCTTTTTAACTATGTATGGTGCCAGGTGGAAATATTGAGGGGAACTTCGTAAAGTATATGATTGTCTAACCACTACGCTGTACACCTGAAACCAATACAAAGTAACACTGAAAGTAAACTGTAATTGAAAAATAAAAATTAAAAATTAAAAAAAATCCTCAAAAAACAAAATGGAAGAAGCATATTGTGATTTTAAATCTGGCACCCCAAAAGGCACAGATTTGGATGGTGAACGTGCCCTACACACCCTTTAATACAGTCGCTTACCCACGCCAGCCTCCCCGTAGCCCAGGTGGGGTGGGATGATCACGGTCCGCTTCTCTCCAACACACATCTCTCGGAGGCCCATATCCATCCCCAGCACGACTTGTCCAGATCCCAGAACAATGTTATACGTTTTGCCTAAATTCCACCTGGAAACGAAACAGAAGGGTTCCCGGTTATGTCATCAGCCCACTGGTACATGAGTGTCTCGTGGGAAGAGCACGTCACTTCTCCGGCACATCACATCCCCGCCAAAGACACGGAACCCCTGCCTAGTCAGGGAAACAGACCAACCCACACCGAGGGGCACTTCGCAAAAATAAACCACCTATAATCCTCAAAAGGGTCAAGATGAAAACCCAAGGAAGACTGAGGACTGTTCAGTGTTAGAACATGTTGGAACGGGGTCCTCTGGCTATGAAAGACCTTCTGGGGAACATTTAGCAAAACTTAAGCAGGATCTGAAAATTAAAAGGTGGTAACATATCCATGTGAACGTCCTGATTTTAATGTCTTACTGAGCGACGCAGGAAAAGGTTCCTGGTTTTAAGAAAAGCACCCTGAAGTACTCAGGGTGATGGGACATCATGGTGGCAACTCTCCAAAGTCTCAGGGGGGAAAAAGCTCTTTCTACTGCTCTTAACGATTTTTTCTTAAGTTTCAGTCAATGCTCTAGCTAGAAATGTCCATGGGAATTTTAAAAAGGTAACGTAAAAGAGAATCTACAGCCCTGCGCTGTAGATTCAGTGAGGCCTGAGTTTGAATCCTGGTTTGGCCACTGAATTTGACCCTGGGACATGTGGCCTCAGTTTCCTCATCCACAGGATGGACATAACAACAGGGGTGTTCTAAATAGGAGACTGTTTTATGCCTGGCACAGTGGAGAGGGAGTATGAAGAGCTCCGTAAACAGATGGCCTTGAGGGTACAAAGTGCTTGGGTCTGTACCCGTCTTTGACTCCAGAAAAATAACCACAAGTTTAATTTGGGGCATGGTTTTTTGTTGTGTATGTTTTTAAAATATGTTTTTATTGATTTCAGAGAGAGAGAGGAAAGGAGAGGGAGAGAGAAACATCAATGATGAGAGAGAATCACTGATCGGCTGCCTCCTGCACGCCCCCTACTGGGGATCAAGCCCAACACACGAGCATGTGCCCTGACCGGGAACCGAACTGTGACCTCCAGGTCATGCTCAACCACTGAGCCACACCAGCCAGGGCTGCGCCACGATTTTAATTTTCTTTGATGTCCATGGTCCCTGGGTAATCCAGGTTTTAAAAAACTGGCTTTCTCACCTCAATCACTACTGAAAATAAATGGATTTCCAATCCTATGGCATTCTTATCACCTCCTTAGGGCAAACAGTGGGCATGTTCTTCAACACCAAGGGGAAGAGCCTCCCCAATATCTTAGAGGCCCCTTGGTACCCCTCACCAGGTGGTAACAATAAGGAAGGGTCCGTCCCTTTGGGTCACACCCCCTCTCAGGCTTCCCAGCCTCCCCCGAGCACAGGGCTGCCGGCTCCTTCCCTCCTCAAGCTGGTTCCCAGGGCCCGGCTGGTTCTCTGGAGCCAGGAAACCAAAACAGGGTTTGCATCTGTCCTACCTGGAACGAAGCAGCCAGCCAGCCAGCTGGCAAAAGCTGCCTTGGCCCGAGGCCTGCGGGAGGGGCGTCCCCTGTCCCGCCCCCCACACAATCCCTCCTTTGTCAGCAGCACAGAGGTGCCTTCACACTGCTCTTCCCTGGGGACCACCCAGGACCTCCCATGGGGCAACTGGGTTTCGAAGCCTTACAGAATATTCAAGAACTCATTTAGCTATCAAATAACAGATCTTCATTCTTCCTCTCGGAGGCCCGTTTAAACACTGGGAGAAAACCCTCCAAGCAAGCGCTTTGTTTCCACGCCTCCAGTCTGAAAACGCCACCCTCCCTCTCCCCAGGCCATCCTGCTGTTGACTTCCTCCGGTATTTCCACCAGTCCTTCCCTGGCATTCCCCTTCTGAAAGCCTCCCGCCTGCCTGCGTGGCCCTGGCTGGCTCCCCCCCACGCTCCCCTCTCCTCTTGGCAGCCAC